TTAATAGTGGGCAGGGAAAATATGAATTTGGAAACATGAGTATGCCTATTAAGAAAGGAATCAACCTCTGATGGAGGGGAAATGAGGAAGCGATCTCGTGACTCTTTGTTTATTCAGGTGCAGTAAAAAAAAAAAAAAAAAAAGCCTCAGCTCCAGAGTATGTCCAATGTTTGTGAGTTAGCTCATTTCAAAGCTGGCCCAGGTGGATTAGGATCAAAGGTCCATGCAGACGGCATTCTGCTGTACTCTGTGTTTCCTTCCCACGTCATTCACACTTCGCTTATTGTCACTCAAGGTCCAAGGAGATAAGCGCTCTCTCAGAAGCATTACAGAGCTGGTCTTTGTCTTTTAAAATGAACCACTGAGTCCTAGCTGGTTTTGCCCCGTGGGTAGAGCGCTGGCCTGTGGACTGAAGGGTCCCAGGTTCAATTCCGGTCAAGGGCACATGCCGGGGTTGTGGGCTCGATCCCCAGTGGAGGGCATGCAGGAGGCAGCTGATCAATGATTCTCTCTCATTATTGATGTTTCTATCTCTCTCTCCCCCTCCTCTCTGAAATCAATTTTATATATATATATATATATATATATATATATATATATATATATATATAAATAAAATAAAATGAACCACTAATCCTCATGTATGTATATACCTCTAGGTTTGTGAACAATAGCTTAGATACCTTCACAAAGCCAAAGACATACTCGTGTAGAAGACAGTGCAATGGCTGCTCTGCTTGGGTTCTGACACTGTAGGCCACAGCCTCTGGCGTGTGCATGCGTGTGAGAGAATGAGAGCCCTGTGCAGGCAGAAACTGAGACATGGCCCTAGCCAGTTTGGCTCAGTGGATAGAGTGCCAGCCTGCAGACTGAAAGGTCCTGGGTTCAATTCCAGTCAAGGGCACATGCCCAAGTTGCAGGCTCATCCCCTGTAGGAGGCGTGCAGTAGGCAGTCGATCAATGATTCGCTCTCATCATTGATGTTTCTCTCTCTCCCTCCCTCTCCCTTCCTCTCTGAAGTCAATAAAAATATATTTAAGAAAGAAAGGAAGGAAGGAAGGAAGGAAGGAAGGAAGGAAGGAAGGAAGGAAGGAGAAAGAAAGAAAGAAAGAAAGAAAGAGAAAGAAAGAAAGAAAAACATGAATAGAGAGAATGCATTGTTACTGTCTCTTAGGTCTGCTCTACTTGCCTTGTCATGGCTTATTGACCTTAGCCAAGACTTTCTTGCTTAACCTTCTATTGTCTGGGTTTCTGTCATGAGTGCCCAAAAGGCCTGGAGCAGCTTGTGTGCCCCTTCTCCCAGTGGGTTCCCAGTCACTGACAGCCCTTGTTAGTAATGGGACTCCTGGGAAGGTGGGTTCAGATCTGGGTCCTCCAAACCTGCAGGCCTGAATTTGGCAGCTCAGACAGAAGGGAGGAGAGAAAAGTAGGCGGCTCACCAAACAGTTCAGACACAGAAATAGTGGCTGCTTCTCCAGCCTCCCAGCCAAGGTCAACTTGGTAAACAAAGCAGTCAGCAGCTATAAAAAGCAAAGTGAGAACAGTTCACAAGCTTTAAGCAGATCCCTACATGAAGGAGGGTTGTGGTGACAAACCCAGCTGAAAAATGTATTCATCTTATACCTGCACCTTTGTAGTCTTTGACCAACATCTTCCCATTTTCTCCATGAAATTCTTACTAATTTTTGAGCAAGGGCCTCTGCAGATTTCACCCTGGGTCCCACAAATGATGTAGCTGGTCTTGTGAAGGCTCAGGTGTAGCGATTTGGGGTGCAGTGGCGCCTGGAAGTGAAGCGCAGGCCTGGCAATAGGGAAAGTAAGTGACCAGCATAGGCTGAGCCGTAGGCCCTTTCCCCTCTGCCCTGCCCTGTCTCCACAACACAAGTAACCTCACATTTAATACCTCTCCATGCCCCAGTTTTGTTTTGTTTTTAATACATTTTTATTGATTTCAAAAAGGAAAGGAGAGAGAGAGAGAGAGAGAGAGAGAGAAGCATCAATTGATCGGCTGCCTACTGGAGATTGAGCCTGCAACCAGGCATGTGACCTGACTGGGAATGGAACTGTGACCTCCTGGTTCATAGGTCGACCCTCAACCACTGAGCCATGCCAGCCGGGCCATACTCCAGTTTTTATACTAACTTTTCCCAACTTTTATCACTTTATTTGGGTTGAAGAAATTCCTACCCTCTACCATTCACTCCACCATGTTCTTTGATTCCAATAATCCTGTTATTGCATGTCCCCCCTTCCACCCCCATTTTTTTCGTATGGGTTGGGTTTGTCACCACTCCTCCTCCTTCATGCTTATTGATGGTGTCACTTCTGGACAACCTGAATGGTTCAAAGAAAAGGGGTCTAGAAATTTCTAGAAAACGTTGAAAGTAACCCACAGAAAGGCCAACGGCACTCTATAATAAAGCCCATCTTTCCAAGACTCTGAAGTTTTAGTTAGCTCTTAAATAGAAATAGTCCCTTCCAGTCAAGGAAGGTCTCATGAAAGTCAGATTGCAAAACAAATAGGAGGGGAGGAAAGGAACCCAGAGAAAACAGAGACAATAAAGGAAACTGTAGAAGCTTAAACAAAAATAACATTCTCAAAAAGTTAGAAGAGGACATCTCACTCTGAAATAAAAACAGGAGTCTATAAAAAAGAGGAATAATCAGGGAACAAGAAAGGGCATTTATAAATTTAAAATATGGTATAACTATAATATAAAAATGTAATAGACTGCACAGAAGATAAAATTGAAAAAATCTCCAAGAAGGTAAATTAAAAAGATGGAAATCAGAAATGTAGGAGAAATAATATGAGAAAAATAGAGGGTTAACATAAGAATCCAAGATCTTCTAATAAAAATTCTAGGTGGCTCAGTTGGTTGGAGCACCATCTGATACACCAAAAGGTTGTGGATTCGATTTCCAGTCAGGGCACATACCTAGGTTGCAGGTTCGATCCCCGGAGGTATGCATGGGAGGCAACCAATCAATGTTTCTCTTTCAGATTGATGGTTCTTTCTCTCTTTCCCCCTTCCTCTCTTTCTAAGATCAATAAAAAACATATCCTTAGATGAAGACTTAAAAAAATGTAGTGGTTGAAAAAAAAAAAAATATATATATATATATATATATATATATATATATATATATATAATAAAAGGGTACTATGCTAATTAGACCAGACATCATTCTGGACGTCCTTCCGGACAAAGCCGGAGCCGCAGCGAAGCCTGGATCCTGGGGCCTGCCAGTGGCGGAAGGGAAGCCCAGGTTCTGGGTTCCAGAGGGATGCCAGTGCCGGCAGTAGGGGGAAGGAAGCCTACTCTTGCATGAATTTCGTGCATCGGGCCTCTAGTTTACTAGTATATATATATTTTCATGTTTTTCCTCCCACCCTTTATGTTATTTTGTCACATGTTTTGTTTTACATATACTTTAAACATATAATAAATACATTACTACTATTTTGCTTTATTTGTGTAGATCCAAGTTTCTGTCTGTTGTATTTGCTTGGCTTGAAGAACTACCTTTAATGTTTCTTGTAGAGTAGTTCTGCTGGCAATGAATTTCTGCAGTGCATGTTATCTGAGAAAGTATTTCTTTCTTTTCTTTTTCTCCCACTTCTAATAAAGATATTCTTGCTGAGTATAGGATTCTGGGTTGAAAGCTTTCTCTTTCAGCACTTTAAAGCTGTCACTCCATTATCTTATGAGAAATCTGCTTTAAAACTTATTTTTGCTCTTCTGTATGTAATGTTGACTTTAAGATTTCCTCTTTCTTTTGTTTTAATAATTTGAATATGCTATGCCCCCCGCCCCCCTCTCTCTGTTTGTTTTGGTATGTATCTAGCTTGGTGTTTTCTGAGTTTCTTAGATCTGTGAGCTAGCGTTAGTGCGGGAGTTGGAAGTAACATACATAGACATTGGACTGGGTTTGAGGTGAACTGTGACTATAGTTACCTTCGGTGTACCAAAGCTTCAATTTCCAGTAAGGACACTTTGTGTTTAGGATGAGGGTTGGTTTATCAGAGCAATATCTGTTCAATCCTGAGCTTTAGGTCAGTTGACCATTTCATTTCTCTCCTATTCCTCTCCTAATATTCTGCTACTTATTATTTAAAACCTTTAATGTGGTAGTGGGGGGCATTGAGCCTCAGATTTAGGCATGCACCATGTCTCTGGTATAGGGGTGAGGTGAAGAGCTTTCCCAGTTTTCCACCTGGCCTTTTCCAGCTGCAATTGTGGGCTCTGCACAATCCTGTCCCTCCCCAGGCAGGGATTTCTTTCCCAGCGGCAGTGGGTTTTCACAATGCCCTACGGAAGCAGTGCTTGTTGTCTTCATCCCCTTCCCCCACTACACACACACACACACACACACACACACACACACACACACACACAAACACACACACACACTCACACATTAAGGCTTCTATTTCATCTGAGAGATTGAGGGGGGAAGATCTAGGCCAAATGTCTTGCCTCTCTCACAAGGGCTGCTATAGCAGACAGAGTTGTGATATGTACTATAGATTAGATAAAGGTATTGTGCTAATATTAAATATCCTGAACTCGATAGCTACAGTAATTATATAAGAAAATAACCCTATTCTTAGGAAATCAACACCAAAAAATTAACGGGTAAAGGGGCATGTGGCCTACTCTCAAATGATTCAGAATAGAAATAGCTAGATAGAGAATAACGAAACAAATGTCACCAAATGTTAAGAGTACAAAAGCGTTTTCTGCATCATATAATTGCAACGTTTCTGAAAAACTGAAGCTATGTCAGAATAAAACGTTTGTTCCATCCAGGATGTAGAGGGCTGGAAGGAGCATCACTCTTGTTCTTAAAACAAGAAGAGGCTAACTAACTTCAAAGTCAAAGCTTTTCTGAAGCCAATTGGAGAGCCCAAGTTGCACAGTAACCAAATAGGAGAGACAAGCACCTGCAGGGAGAAGGCCACTCCCTTACCTGGGGTGGGTGGACCGAGTACACACCTGGAAGAAGAATTCAGCTGAAGTAGTTGATGTATTGGTGAGTTGATGGGACAGTGTTGAAACTTGCTATCATTCAGGTGATTCTTTCAGCCAAGGTCCCAATTAAACTACAAAGAATCTAGAATTCTGGCTAGAAACAGCAGGCACATCACTCCACTAAAGGGACAAAAGGAGAGCTTAATTGTCAGAACCTGGCTGTGAGGAGAGAGCTCCAGGCAGGAACTGAGACTTTCTGTCAGGAGGTACATAGGGAGGAGAAAAAAATACCTGGAATTCACACTCTTCCTTCCTCATTTTAATCTCTTGCTGGTCCCTCCCCTCTGGCTGAGCTCTGAAAGCCAGGGAGCTGGTTGGCTTGGGTTGCCTGGTGAGGGGGGAGGAAAGGGAGCAGGGAGAGAAAGGGGAGGGCACACAGCAGGGGGACAGAAGGGACAGGCTGGAGAAAAGAGCCAGCCGAAGCTTTCTGTTACACCTACCAAGCTGGCAGGTGGGAACAGCCGAAAAGCACAGGAATTAGGTGGTGTTTTGAGTCTGCTTCTTTTTAACCATATGCCTTTGGGCAAACTCCTTTTTCTTTCTGACCCTATTTGTGCATTTATAAATGCTAAGAGCAGGATGGTTGTGGGTTTTTAATGAGAAAAAAACATGTATGTAAAGTGACTGGTCCAGACTTAACCTCCAAAAACTGGAAACTTAAGAAAAATCACAGTAATCATTACTCTGAGTATACCTCACCCGGCCAGCATGGCTCAGTGGTTGGGTGTTGACCTATGAATCAGGAGGTCAAGGTTGAGTTCCTGGTCATGGGACATGGCCCAGTTGTGGGCTCCATCCCCAGCATGGGGCGTGCATGAGGTCGCCGATCATTGAGTATTTACATGGTCTTACCTTTCAACCCAGTAAATTTCACTTCTAGGAATTTATCTTGAGGAGATAATAATTTTAAGAGTAGATAATGAGGTGGTTTATGAACTTGGCTCTGCAGTCAGAGTTTGAGACTGAAATTCCAGCTCTGTCACTATACAGTGGGGCCTTGACTTACGAGTTTAATTCGTTCCGTGACCGAGCTCGTAACTCAAATTACTCGTATGTCAAATCAAAAAATGAACGAGTGAGACACGTGATGCTGGGCTGATGTTGTGGCGTTCACTGTGACGTTCGCTGCCCCAACTAGCGGTGGGATATCTGAAGCTGGCTCGTAACCCGAATTTTAGCTCGAAACTCAAAGCAAAAAATCGGCCGAGAGACTGCTCGTATCTCGAAAAACTCGTTAGTCGGGACACTCGTAAGTCAAGGCCCCACTGTATAATAATATTCATATGACTTTGGGAAGTTACGTAACTTCTCTCAGCCTCCCTTAATCCTTCTATGAAATAGGAATGAAAATGTTCCCTGCTTGATAGTTCTTATGAGAGCATATGTGAAAACACTGACCCACATGAATACATAACAAAAGTATCAGTACTTTTATTTACAATAGTAGAAAATAGGGTAAAACCTAAATATCTAAAAATAGAAAATGGTACATTTATTAAAATAGTATGCACTCATTAAAAATGTTTTAGGACCCAATCTTCATGACCCAAGGTTTTTAAAAACAGGACACAAAAAGCTCAAACCAGAAAAGAAAAGATGAATATATTGAATTTCATTAAAATTAAGAATGCTCATTCATAAAAAATACACCATTAAGAGAGTGAAACAGCAACTACAGATGGGAGACCTGTGTCCAGGATATAACATCAAGAACTACAAATAAATAAGAAGAAGGTAGACAACCCATAGAAAAATAGTCAAAAGATTCAAACAGACACTTCACAAAAAGGATATCCAAGTTGAAAAGTTGCTCAACATCTTTAGTCACCAGGAAAACGCAAACTAAAACCACAATGGGAAACCACTACATACTCAGGAGAATTATTCAAATAAAAAGATTGACAATACCAAATATTGCTGAGAACGGGAATAACTGGAACTCTCATATGACGCTGGTGGGAGGGTAAATTGATTACCACTTTGCATAATGATTTGGCAATATCTACCAAAGTTAAGCATAGATGTATCACATAATAAAGCAAATCTACTCCTGGATATATATATACCCAACAGAAATGCATGCTTATGTCTGAAAAGAGGTACAAAAATGCTAGTAGTAGCTTTACTCATAATAGCCCCAAATTAAAAAACATACACACATATGCCTCTCCATAATAAAAATAAGTGTTGATTCAATGAGATACTGGAACACTCAAAAACGTGGATAAATCTCATAGAGCTAATATTTAGTGAAGGAAGTCAGCTATGAAAAAGCACTTGCGATGTGGCTCCTCTTAAATCAAGCTCAAGAATAGGCAAAATTGGAGGGAGCAAAAGGGAGCCTTCTGAAGTTTGCAAATATTTATTTATACATCTGGATGGTGGTTATGTGGGTGTATACCTATGCCAAAGCTCATCAATCTGTACCCTTAAGTTTTGTGTACTCACTGAATATAAGAAATACCCCCTAAAAGAAGTATTTTTTAAAGAAGTAAATAAGAAAAAATGATGTTTACAAGGAATTTTAATACCATGCAGAAAAGATTGGTATGATGCCAAGTCAGAATCAAAATACTATATAGAGAATAATCGCAACATTACCTTAAACATGTAAATGAAAGACTGGAAAAAAATACACTGGAAGGTTAATAATGGGTCTTTCTGAGGGTGGGATTATGTGTTTTCTTTATGTTTTTCTGTGTCTTTAAAACTTTCTTCGATGAATATGTATTACCTTTATAATTAGGAAAAATTATCTCAAATTATTAAAATGCCTTTTTAAAATTTGAAAGCCAGAAATTAGAAGGAAAGAATAGCCTGGCAAAACAGCATTTATCCTAAATGTTTACTGTTTCTGTAATTGCCTCATTTTGAGGCTTTAGATAGAAATTAAAACTAGGTCATATATTCATCAACTTTGAATTGGTTAATTTTCTCTCATTCTTTTACATCGTAGGCAGAAAATCATAGGAATAAATGGATCTATAGTTAAGTAGTTAAATATATTTGAGACCAAAAGGATTTTATTTTGCATTTTTTATTAGATGTGCTCTTGTTTCATTTTGGTTATTAATGTGTAAAGCTGAATTAAAGAGGCCTTCTTGGCTTTTAAACATTTCAATGGAGTTCCCATCTGTTAATGAAAACTCGTGTCTCCCCCTTAATTTTGAGGGCCTGAGTTCTGAGTACTCATTACTTTGAGGTTAAGTGAAAATTGTGGCTGGAGGACGCACCCTATCTGAGGAATGCCCAGCCTGCCAGGTCCCAGTGGACCCTGCCTGGGGCAATGTACTCATACTTATCTGATTGTCTTACTTCTAACTATGCTCCAATAAATCAGGGCTTATAACAAGTCTGCCAGACCTGTGGTGGCCATAAAACCCAACTCTAGGCTGGTCTGTCTTGCATTGTTTTTCTGCTAACTATCTCTCCACAGGCACAAACTCAGCCCCCCCCGCACCCCCCCCCCCCCCCCCAAAAAAAAGGACTTCCATGACTAAAACTACAGCAAGAAGACATTAAGGAGAGTGGAGGGTTCAGGCAGCAGTCTTGCTGTCCAGCTGCTGTCTTCTAACAGTCTTTGATACATTTAACAAGCAGTTATTGGGCCCTCTTTTTCCAGGCATTGTACCAGATCAGTGTCATCGACTAAATCATATCCTCCCAAAATTCATATATTAAAGTCCTAACTCCCAGTACCTCAGAATATGGCTGTATTTAGAGTAAAAATTACTTTATGGAGGTAATTAAGTTAAAAGAGGTCATTAGTGTGGGCTCTAATCCAATACTACTGGTGTCCTTGTAAGAAAAGGAAGATTTGGATATAAACACCAACAGAGGGAAGACGATGTGAAGACACTGGAAGGAAACAACCATACATACCAACCAAGGAGTGGCCTGGGACAGATCTTCTTTATGACCCTTCGAAGGAACCAATCCTGCTGACACCTTGACCCTGGGCTTTCAGATTCCAGAACTGTGAGAAAAATAGACATTCATCCATCTTTATTTCTTAGATTTATATCCATTAAAATTGTTGTGTGCAAGTGTATACAGTTCTATGAGTTTTAACACATGTACAGATTCATGTAACCACCAAAACAATCATAATACAAATAGTTCCATCATCCCAGAGAATGTGCTCGGCTGCTCCTTTGTAGTCAAATCTTCCCTTACCCCTAACTTCTTGCAACCACTTCTCTCTTCTCCTGGTAGGTATAAATTTAACAAGGTCCTCATGACCTTTGTCCTCTGGTGTTACACCCTAAGTCATCTTCTCCATCTTGGGTGTGGGCATGACCTGTGACTTCTAGCCAACAGAATATGGCCAACGTATACAGTGTCACTTTCTTAGGTAGGTTGTGTTACATAGCAAAGGTCAGTCCCCTGATTATACTATCCTATATAATGAAAGGCCAATATGCAAATTGTCCCCTCAGGAGTTTGACCGGGAGTCCGACCACTCGATATGACATGTGCTGACCACCAGGGGGGACACAGAACAAAGGAAGGCCCGGCTGGCAGCCAGCAGCCAGGGGAAGGAAGGCCTCGATCGGCCCTGATCGCCAGCCAGGCCTAGGGACCCTACCCGTGTATGAATTTCATGCACCAGGCCTCTAGACCTAGCAGACTAGAGCAAGAGATACTCTCTTGCTGGCCTGGAAGAAACAAACAATTGTGTGAAACTGCCTAGGAAAAGGCCATGTGGCAGAAAACTGGGCAGCCCTCTAGAACCTGAGGCTGGCCTCCAGCCAATAGCCAGTAAGAAGCCAGGCACTCAATCATAGAGCTGCAAATGAATTCTGCCAACAACTTGGATGAGATTCTTCCCTGGTTGAGCCTTCCGATGAGAGCAGCCTGGCTGACACATTGATTGTAGCTTGTGAGATCCTATCCATGTGTATTGCTTTAAGCTACTAAGTTTGTGGAACTTTATTATGAAGCAATAGAAAACGAATATACCTCCTTATAGTGTTGCCTTTTCCAGGTGCCATATTAATGGACTCGTGCACCATGCAAACTTTTGAGATTGGCTCTTTTCACTTAGCATAATACCTTTGTAAGTAAATTCATATATATCAAAAGCCATTACTCATTCTGGTTTCGATTAAAATGGCATAAGTACCCTTTACCCTGTTATTCCCATTTTTGACTAAAAATGACAGCCAAAATATCTGAAGGTGCTATTAAGGACTTTAGAGTGGTGGGGGGCGGGGGGGGGGGGGAGGGATGGTAGCAGGAAGATTGGAGAGGAAAGCCAAAAGTCCAAATAAGATTGATTCATGGGTGAATTTCCCATGTTTTTTCACCCTCCTACAATGTCCCCCCAAGGTCTATAATCAAAATGAGACTGAACCCCAGAACTGT